AATTGTTTTTAACGTGATTGCGAAAACTAACCTGACCGCTATAGAAATCCAGACTGGACGGGCATTTGACTGCTATTAATTATTCATGATGTCATTGATTATTCATGAGTGGGTGTGTGAAAGTAAACATGACCTTTTAAAGGTTGATTCGATTCGATGAGATGGCTACTTTAACTTTAAGTGCAAAGGCGATACTTTCATCCATGTTTATTGAAAACAAGCTTATTTAAATATCCAAAGTAAATTTCAAAATCGCTGACCTCAGAAGTGAAAGGTCACATACATTAACATAGATAAGATATGACGTTTAGCTGCACTCTGATTCGTTGTCAATGCTAGTCAACAACTTTTAATTAGCATAATTAGTGATTCCGCTTCGGTTTTCACTACAACGCAGGGAGTCGCTTGCAGATGCGTCTAGTCGGGATTTCTTTTGCTGTCACACTAGTTTACGCGATCATGTTAAAAAGGCTAAATTGACAATTAATTATATATTTGTTTGTAAAACAAAAAAGAAGTCCCAACTTTGCCAGTCTATCCCTTGCCCTGCAAGCTCAATGTACTTTTACCTTGACTTGACCAGATGAGGGTTAATACTCGATATTTATATGGAACTCTAACATAGCTAGAAGAAATATTAATAAACAGTCCAGGTTTTGGAAAATGCAAGCGATTTGTAAAAATATTGCAGTAACATAAGTATTTACTGTTGTGTGAAAGGTCTTGAACTGAAGAAATAAGCAGGAGCCCATTTGCATGCAATGGTTTGAGCTCTGGCAGCCATGTTGATTTTGAGTGTCTTCGGCAATTTCCCTTTTTTTTGACAAAGTTTCAATGAAATTTATCCTTGCTTTTCAACTGTACTTTCTCTGACATCTAACAAATTTTGGTTAAATTTGGTTCAAAGATAAAATGGTGTCATGTACATGCCAATTGACATCACATTCCATCTTTGTATGCTCAAATCAAATACATCCAAATACAGACAGAATATTAATCTTGAACATGTTAGTGATGTAGTTTACCCTATATAAAGGAAGTGTTTAAACAAGTGCATATTAATTTTGGATAAGTGCAGATAGTTTTTTTTAGCTCCGATGTCGACTTTGTTGGGCGGAGCTTATCATATGAGCGATTGTCTGTTGTCGTCAACTTTTTACTATTTTGACTTTTTGAAAATCTCAGTTCTTATTGCATTGATATTTGGTGTA